CTAAATACGGCTTACTTTAAGTATGTCTTGGGTGAGGAATATAAATCGACAATATGAAGTGGGTTGATGCTGCTCTGGTGTTATGGTGTATGTGTATGTGTGTGTTTGTATGTAAATAAGTCAATTATTTCTGGCTGCGTTTAGCTGGTAAATATATAAAAGATTCAATGGGATAAATATGCATGTACTTTTTCCTTGGGAAAGCATATGAAAAGTGCATGCGGAATCTTGGGAATTCGTGGAGAGAAAGGTACGGTTGCGTTGAAAAATTAATGCCGTTGGTGAGGGGAAATAAAAGAAAGCGAGAGAGAGAGACAAAGGTAAAGATTAAACAAAGACAAAGATAGAGTAAAGATGACAAAAAAGATAAATGTAAAGATAAAGATGTAGAAAGAATAAAAGGTGAAAAAACAGATGAAGATGAAAGTTAAAGGTAGAGATGAAGGTAAATATGAAGGTAAAAATAAAGATGAAGATCAAGAAGAGAAAGATGAAGATAAATATAAAGGCAAATTTAAAAATGCATATAGCGATAAAGATAACGATAGATAAAAAGGCAAAGATGAAGACAAATACAAAGATAAAGATAAAGGTAACGATACAGGTTAAGGTAGCGAAGAACACATAGATAAATATAAAGGTATATACAACAAGACGGAAGTAAAGTAAAATATGAAGACAAAGATAAAGGTTAAGGTAAGCTAATGGTAAAAGTAAAGATATATTTACATAGATGAAGACAGATATAAAGATAAAGGTAAAGATTGAGATAAAAGTAAATACAAAGTTGCAGACAAAAATAAAAATAAGACAGATATAAAGATAAAGGTAAAGATTGAGATAAAAGTAAAGACAAAGATGAAGACAAAAATAAAAATAAAGGTAACGATAACGATAAAGATAAAGTTGAAGGTAAAGGTAAAGTTAAAGATTAAAGTAGTTCTTAAGGTAAACGAAAGATAACCATGAAGACTAATATAAAAATAAAGACGAACATAAGAAGATAAAGACGAACGTAAAGATAAAAATGAACACAAAGATACCGATAAAAGTAAAAGCAAAGGTACAGGTAAATGCAAAAATAAAGATTTAGATAAAGAAAACAGACATAAAGATAAACATAAAGATCGAGAATTATTATTTTAAAATTGCTGCAGTCTGAAAAGCAAATGAAGTAATAAGAACGAGAAAAAAGATTTTGACCAAGGCGAATTCATACAAGACGGGGACCGTAACAGTTACAACTTTTACTAAACAGTTATTTTTTGACCTTTGACCTTTTTTGACCTTTATTTAATGGCTCCTTAAATAACAGTTATTTCCGATTTTTATTATATAAATCCAAAATAACAATTATTTTTTATTTCTATTTAAATAATCTGCAAATAAAAGTTATTTTTAATTCTTTAATAAAATGTCTTAGATAACAGATATTGAAGACTTGTATTTATAAAAGTCATAAATATAAATCAGTCACTGACTTTTATTTTTTAAATCATACTTATAATAGTCATTTGTATATATAAGGCGTAGTAAACTGTGTTTGTTCTCCTACACCTTCTTAACTGCGAAAACTGATAGTGACTTTTATACGTACGGATTTAAAAATAAAAAATTTATAAAAAGTAAAATATAAAAAGTAAGTCACTGACTGATTTTTATTGATAACTTTCATAAGTAAAAGTCCTCGATAACTCTTATCTAAGACATGTAATGTAAAAAATCAAAAATAAGAGTTATTTGCAGATTATTTAGAAAAAAATGAAAAGTTATTGTTTTTTTGGATTTATAAAATAAAAATCATAAAAATTATTTTTTTTTTTTAATTTCGCATAAAATCTACAAATAAACATATATTTTTATATTTGATTCTCAGTAAAAAAAAGAAATCGATTGCTATGTATCACTTAGTTATAGAATATTTCCTTCATAGTAAATTTTCCAATGACAATTTGCATCAATAACTGTTATGTTCTGTCCCTGATAAACTGTGGAGATTTTGACACTGCCTTATTTTTCAAAATTGCCTTTAAAATTTTGTATAAGACAGCAGTTAGTTTTTATTTGACTTTCCCCCAAAGTTTTAGTTTTTGTTCGCAATATTTTGGCATAAACTTTACATTACGTAACTTCCCAGAAAACCAAAAAATTTGAGAATAAAGAGGGAAACAAAAATAAGTTTTTTTTTTGCATGCCAAATAAAGCAAATTCAATTCACTCCCCAGTAGCGGTGTTTTCTGTACGTACCCATTCGCGCACGGCACCAGCTTGTCGCTACATACCTATGTATGTATGTATGTATGCATGTGCTTCAATATATATTTGTCAAGCTGTAAATCGAGAAGGTTACCGTTGTGCGCGAAAAGGAGCAGCTGTTGCTTACGAATTCTATGAAGTATACGGACTTTTATGGCTTCTGGAATGACGGTGTGGTTGTAGAATGGTTAACGCAGCAGCGTCGGGGTGCTACTTTAAAAGTTGGCTGCGTTGCTGCACTTAAGCGGATTAATGCAAATTGAGTTAACACTTTTGATTGGTCGTGTCGGGCGGGCAATCGCTTTATGATTTCTTGCCATTTTTGGCATTAAGCATAAAATAATTATTAATTAATTCACAACTGAATTTGAGTGTATAAAATCAAAATGTGTTTGGCGGTAGCTAAAAAAACGTACGGCGGTGTTTGTGTGTGTGTGCGCAAGTGAGTACTTGTTTTAATTATAAATTCATGGCATATGCATGTCTAGAGTTTGCCGGTTTATTTGATTCTATTCGCGAAAGTTCTTTTAGTTAATATAATTTTTATTGGGCAGCGGATTTCACGGCCAGGTTGTGTGGAAATTTTTTTCAAGCAAATAATAATGAAAGATAAGAGATGATGTCGAACACGACAACCGCATCTACGTGAACGAGAACAAGACGCAGTATCTCAGTATAAAATCATAGGAATACTTTAGCAAAAGTTCTACACCCAACTACTGACTAAGATACCAGCAATTTCTATAGATATCAAATTTAGATATCACTTAAATGACAACAAAGCAAACGGCTAGTGATGTGCTGAGTCAATGCTTTTAAGTGTTGATTGATATTCGGTACCGATTTCAAAAGTATCCAATACTCTCGATACTCGGTACCGAAACATTTAGGTTTCGATTAAAAGCGCACATAAGCCAAAAATATGAAAAAAAAATGGTTCAGGGAGACACGCCTATCAAAACTCGATACTGATTCAAATGAAAGATGTACATATGTATGTCAGTTCGAGGCCATAAGGCTGAGAAACTCTTACTTTGAAGCATTTTTGTTCCAGCTGAATTGGAAGATATCATTTTTGTAGGCCTGGGGGCAGATTCTGTAACCAGTTAGCGACAATTTTCGAATCGGTATCGGTTTTGTTGACATATGATATGAAATATTTTTACGTCAACATGTGCGATATCGATCCGAAACTTGTCGCTAACTGGTTACAGAATCTGCCCCCATCCGTCAAAGCATTTTTCTTGAGCCTAGGATCGACTAATGTTAAAACTGATAAAATAGTATTTCTCTGTTGCGATAAGTTCAATTGTTTTATTAGTAATGAAAGTTTTTTCTAAACTTGAAATTCATACAATGGCGAAGGTTTAATGTAAAGAATCGGTATCGGGTACCGAAAAGGAAGTATTGGGTACCGACAATTCAGCACATCACTACAAACAGCTGTATTTGTCAAACAAATGACCCACTTGAACGGTCACTGTATCTTAAAACCACACACATAACGAAACTCTAAATGTAACGGCAGTAAACCTGTTCCATGTGTGGAAATTAATGAATAAACCCGTTAAATACAAAATTTATTTCAAGCACCGCACACACCAATTGACACACCGAACTGGTGGTAGCAATGACCTACCTTTGATACTTCAGCATGGCGCGTGGCAGCAGAAAACTCCCATTCTCCGACACTTCCGTTGTACACTTCCCATGCACCGGCGCAATTTCTTCGCATGCGTTGGCAACTCCTCCTCCTCCTCCTTCTCCATTTCCTCCTTGAATGCCAATCGCATCAGCGGCACCGGCACAACCACCACCACCACCACCACCACCAACACAACTCCTCCCCAATTCCGATGACGGTGATGCGTTGCGCGAATGCACTAAAAGCGCACCAAAGCGTTGCATGTACGTGTAGGTCAGTTCGCCGGAATGCTGACGACGCAAATAACCATTCATATCACTGCTATGGCCACTATGCTGACTACCGCGTTCACTGCTGCGACCGCTGCTGCTGTGTAAGCTGCCGTGGCTGCGATTGCTGTGCGACGAGGCGAATGACGCTGCACCGCCGCCGCGATAGATTGTTTTAAGCGTATTATGCTGGGGCTGGCTACCACTGCCGGCTGTGGACGATGTTGCTGATACTTTCGTAGTGACTAAATTTGTGCTGAGGAGCGCAGCGATCGGCCTGACCTGACTACCAACGACTTTTTGTACTGCCGCTTCTTCCACTAATTCTTCGCCATCATTATTGTAGGGCAGCGCTTGAATTGCATCGAAATTGTATGAATTGAAGTAGGCTTGCTCGCGCGTGCGTTTCATTTTGGCTGCCTCTGAGGCGTGGTCATCGAAGGCGGTGGCACTTTTTGCTTCGCTCAGCGGTGGCTTGTTGCAAATGGGCATTTTGTTGGCAGTGGTGGCGGTGGCGGTGGCGTTGACGGTGGTTTTGTAAGGCGTCTTGGCGTGGGGGCGTACCCTCAGCTGCTCCGTGGCACGTTTGCGCTGGCTGTGGCTATGGCTGCGGTGTATATGTGGCAGTGGGGCAGGTGGATGCAGTTGGCTGGCAGTATGAACACAATTGTGGTGGATATTTTGGCAGTGTTGTTGTTGTTCACAGTATTATTGGCAGTGGATTTGCACTTCTTGTTTGTCTGCAAATGAAAGAATAGTGCAAACAAATTGCATTAATAAATATTTGTGCACTTTTTTTTTTTATATATATTGCGAGATACCCACGAAAATTTTTGGAAAAATATTAAGACTTCTGACAGCTAGACCGATTTAAAAACACCTCTAAAAATTTCAGGCATTTGATTCCGTTAATATAAATTTTAAACAATTGTTTATGCAGACATTTTATGCTTACACTTTTCTATCATCTGAAGTAATTTATTAGAAAAAATATTTTTAAAAACTAATTTTATTTAAATAAAACTCGATTTAAGAAAATATTTTCAAATAGGTCCTGCTCAAGAAAATCTTAATATTTTTCCTAAATATTCTGGTGGAAGCCTTAAATTATTTTTAATTTTATACTTCCAATGTAAAAGCAGTACGGTTTGGTTTTGTATGGAGAGTGATGCACCCTAATGTATGTATATGGTTTAATTAGTCTCATGACGAGCGTGTTAACAGCGCGCTTTTATAAAACCCCGAAAAGCTGCAGGCGATGGCAAATACCGCTGCCGGCGCAACGCTAACGAAAGTAAATAAAACTTTCGTCTAATTTTCGAGTTTTGAATTCGACAACTTTTTACTTCATTTCATTCATTTTTGCTAATCATTTCACTTGTATATTATTGCTTAATTTGGCTGGTATGCGCTCGAGATAGGGCGACTTGAACGTCAAACAAACCGCTGTTGTATAGCAAAGCGGCCTAGCGTGCGCGAATTTTATTGGATAGGATGGTCGAGTTAAGCGCCAAGGCTAGCGTGCATAGTGCAAATTCCCGTCCGGCATTAAACATCCGCCTTGTGCTGGCTGGGCATGGCTCAACTTCAGCGCGCTTGTCTGAACTGGTTTCACACTTAAATGGATTATAAGCACAGAATTTGCTTGCAGTTGTTGGCAGATATGTAAATAATATTAATATGCAGCCGAACTACATACATACAAATATCCCTATACATATATATATATGTATAGTACATTAGACAGTACCAGAAAAAATGTTCACCGCTCACTTTCGAATCGAAGGTATTTCTGCAATGCAATTTCGCAAAAGTGTGCATTTAGCCGAATGCCCTTTTATATTTTTCTTCATATCTTCGGCATTGTCTGCAAGTACCCCGTTCTAGTTTTTATGTACCAGATCTCAGATCTTATCACCCTAATGTACCACCCTAATGTCAGGAAATTAAAATTCACCCAAAATCATAAAACTTCAGAACTTTTCTCTTCTCTTTTTTCTGAACTTTTTTTGGTGGTACGGTCTAATGTGCATACATATAAACGTGTGAGGTGCGGGTGGTGCTGCACTCTGCTGTTTTTACAACGCTTTTATCAACTTACAATGTTGTGTGTCCAGACCGCATTCATAGCAAAGGTATTTATCTGTTAAATTAGCAAAGTATGTGTGCTTCTTAGCTTTCGTCCCCAGCGTGTGTAAGTGCAACAAAACGGATATGGTTAGCTTCACATAGCTGCTTGAATTTTGTAATTTATGCGTTCGCCTTTGCTATTTAGTTGGTTTTGTTTGTTTGGTTTGAGATTTTTGGTTTGCTTTAAATACAGATTTTTTTTAGCGGCTACACAAGAAAAACAGCTTTGAGCTGCTTGTACTTGCGCGCTGGGGAGAAATGTTTGCCATGGAGCGGAATAAAAAAAAAACGCCTGTTAATTTTAAAACCTGTTGCCAATTTTATTAAATTTGTTTTCGAAGTCTCGATGTATCAAATTCAAAATTAGATTAATTAATAAAAGCATGACTTTAAGACAAGTCGAAAGATAGAACTTGTATTGATATTTTATAGATTTAACTGTAAATATGTGAAAAGTAAAAAGCTTCACAGGAGTAATTAATTGCTTTGCCAGATGATAAGATAAAACAAAGTAAGTGCGCCTGGGCCACACTGGAGAATTGAAACTTACGTTACATATCTAGTTTGTCTCATAATCAATATACACATGTACATACATACATGTGCTTTTGCTTAAAGTCATATTTTTAGCCTTTTTTCTATCTAGATCTCTACCTCTACCCTGTTCAATCTAATTAAATTTACGTTATTCTGTTTTCTTTTATCTTTATTTTTATCTTTATACCCTATCGATAACAAAATTGATAGTAACAGCTATCAAAATATCGATTATAAAATCGATAGCAAAACCGATTAGAAAATCAACAAAAAATATTGATAAGAAAATCCCTAAAAAATCGATAACAAAACTGATAAAAATATCGATAAAAAAATCGATGAAAAAATCGATGAAATATCAGTAAGAAAATGGATATCAAAATCGATTAAAATAACTATAACAACATTGATAAAAATATCGGTATCAAAATCGATAAAATATCGATAACAAAATCGATAAAATATTGATAAAAATATGGATTATTATATCGATTAGGTCCGAAAATATCGACAACAAAATCGATAAAAACATGGATTATAATATGGACTACTTCCAAAAATATCGATAACTAACTCGATAAAAATATCGATAACAAGACCGATACAAATATCGATTATCTCTAAAATCCCGTATCCCGTTCCCTGATTGAGTCTCTGTCTCTATCTATATACTTTTCTCTATAACTACCTTTATTTGTTTTTATTTTTTATTTTTATCTTTGCCTTTATCCTTTTCTTTATCTATGTATGTACTAAACTTTACTTTTAATCTTGTATTGGTCTTTTTCTAAGTATTATCCTTTAACCTTTTATTAGCAAATTTTTGTTAAATTAATACCATTTGCATATATGTACTTAAGAAGCACTTGTTTCAGCCCCAACCATTTCCATGTGCAATTTCCGTTGAATTTTTTCAATTTACTTGCAACCAAGCAACCGCCGCTAGAGAAGTTTCACTTCAAAAACTTAATTTTTTTAGCAAACGTATATATCTAAATTGATATATGTATGCCCGTTTCCTTTAGTTAGATATACCGAAGTGGCTGCGAGACCTCCTTTTATGTTGCCTAAGTAATTCATTGTAGAACACTTAAACCCTTTAACTGCTATTTCTTTATGAAACTTGGTCAAAAAAGCATCAAAAAATTAAAGGGTTACATTTTTTTTTACTAATTTTTACTATAGGCCTCTTAGGGAAAGAATTTATATAAAAACCTATATAAACACATCGGCTGATTTTAAAATATTCAACAGCACCTACTAAAATTGCCTGCATAACAAGTTTGTACAACATTTTAACCCTTTGACTGCCTGTTTTAATAAACTTTCGCTGGCTCGGTTATATCGTACAAATGGATCCAAGCGTTCCAGCCCTAAAAGTATTCAACGCGGAACTCGCTGGTGTCTACTATCACCTCTTCTACGATCTATCCATTAATTTACCAATAAATTCATTAAACAAAGGTAAGTTATAAATCTAAATACATGTCGATTTGTTGCAAAAAAAAANATTTGAGGATTACTTACTAGTGCCATTATTTCAAATATTATTTGTCTTCGATTATGGCTGTCAAAGTCGTTGACATTTTGCATGTAATTATCATTTTAATTGAACTTTCTATTACAAACATAACAATAATTGTCACACATACACACGTGCATAGCTTGAAGCTAATTAGAAACAAATTGAGTCGAAGGAAATGATAAAAAAACAAAAACAAAGCGAGCGCGCTGAAACTGGTTGTAATTATAAAAGTGAACACCGAAAGCGGATACCATTGAGTCCGGTTCAAGAATGAATTGTATCTGTTTATAAGCTGAATGCTACTGCCTTTGAATCAAATAAAAATGGGTTTGCTATAATAAAACCGGCAAGCAATTTGTTACGCAATAATTTCAACAATACATCCTGGGAAAGTTTTCTGCAATTATACATACATACATAAGTATTTCTATGAGCATACATATGTATGTACATATATTTAAACCAAATAATATATTGGCGGATTTAGAAAAGTCACTTAACGATGCCATGTAGTCGAATTAAATCTTCGAAAAAGAAGGTTCTTAAAAAAAATTCAAGCACATTCTTCGAAGCGATTTCTATGATGGACTTGAACGGGACGGCGACAAGACTTTAAGACCTAACCGGTATACTAACGGGGTACTGGTGTGCATTAGCCATATGGCTAAGCTCGAAGCTCTGAATATAGATTTCTGTAGAAGCTGTAGAGTTGAGAAATATATAATCCATAATGTTATCTAATATGACAAGGCATTAACAGTGTAAAATAAATCATCTTACCACCCTGTCGGAAAAATCAACTAACTTCACAATGACAGCCAGTTAACTGGTAAAAAAGGGGTACAAAAGGATGAATTTTTTGGGGTCCACATTCAAAGGCTCTTAGATCAAAATTAGGAAACTTGTAAGCCTTTGAACAACTTATTAGCCATTGAGCCGGAAGGCAGTGCTGTGGTTGTCTTCGAGTAGAACTATGCCATGTGAAAAGTAGACAATGCATCATAAATATAAAAATTTAGAATACAAATTGTACAGTTCCGAAAAAAATAAAATAAAAAAATGCAAACTTAAATGCCAAATTGCTAACAAATATTTGCGCAGTGCATTGAGTGCTTTTTGCGGCATTTTAAAATAAGAAGCAACGGTACATGAACCACACCTGACATAAAAAAAAAAACTCATTTAAAAAATGTCAGAGCGCACACCCAATTAAATCTCAACACTTGGAATGATGGGTTAACAACAAATACGGATGATTACATGAACCAAGTTTCCAATTTGTACTTAATTGCAGTTGCAGTGGCAGTTCAAATGTCAAAAAGCACCAAACCTGGAATGCAAAACAATGATTAATGATTGGCAGTTTAAGGTAAAGTCAACAAAAATTAAAAAAAAAAAAATGTCAATGCATGCAATACATTTAAGCAAAAATAAATAAATTTATGAATTGGATGGCTACATCATTAAGAAAATGAGATTTACACCGGCGATTTAGTAAAGGAAAAAATAAATTAACAAAAAACGTCATTGGAAAAAAAATTTAAAACA